GTGACTGATGTCTAACGACTGTGGAAAATGATCAGTCAGCTTACATAATCGTCATCATCTCAAATAATTGAGCCACTTATTTTAAAACTGTGACAGGCCTAGTTTGAATAGATCATAAGATAATTCTGGCAAATATATAAGTTCACAATAATTTAATTATATTAAATGGTTCTTTTAAATAGTGTTTTTTAACTATTGAACTGCAGTTTACAGTAATCCACATTAAACTAATTCCCCAACAGAAGTGTAGGTACGTGTTTTGAGAGCGCTGTGGGGAAAAGTCATGTGACTTACTTATTGAGGAACTGCTCTAGGCCTTGCCGCCGCTCCTCGATGAACGAATCATCAAAGATGCCGTCGTCCCCGCGGAATGGGAGCTGCCTAAATAGAGCTTTCCCAGGCAGAGGGGGGACAACCACCTGACACACAAACACACACACACACGTTTACCAATTAACAGTGCTTTACTCTGAACAACAACATCAATATGTTAATAAGAAAATAAAGAACTGTGATGAACTGAGTATAAACACAGGGAAGTAATAGTGGCTGATATACAGTTAATCCAATACACAGGCTGAAATTCTTCTTAAGGTTTCAGTCTGGTCATGTCCTTTATACTGGTATGCCTCAACAAGCGCAGATAACACAATGTTATGACCGTGCAAAACACATACTGTATGTATTCTCAGTAAAAAAGCCTCCCACCGCCTGTGTAGTGGCTTGCAGTCAGAGGTAAGTTAGTCTAGTTTGTTGTTGAAGGAGCAGACATCAGATTGTGATATAACAAAACTGTCAAAAATCTGAATTATAACGATCAATTTTTTATTTAAACATCTATGTCAAAAACTGTAATGTGGTCCAGGTATTTTGACTTATTTGTTAAAACCCTACTGCTTAAAGTTAAAAAGGTCAGTGTACACAAAAGTTGAGACTTCGCTTTTTGAGATCCGTCTTAAACAATTATTATATTAATATAATGACTCTAAAAACTCCGCCCACCATGTGTGTTCTATCTGCTGGGACAGTCCACAGAAATCAACGTGTTATGCATCAATTTCAGATAAAAATGAAGTGGTAACCAGATGTCTTGGTTGCAAATAATGATAATATATACAGCAACCTTTCTGAAAAACACTGATGAAAGTAATAGTTAAATTTATATTATACTATTAGGACAGCAAATTCCAGTAAAGTTAGCTAAGTTAATGTTATTCAGCCCCATAACAGTAGTCCTGAAAACCTTTAACTTGTTGGGAAAGGGGATTCTTCTTTACACTGTTCCTTGTTGGCAGGAGGGACTTCCCATTGCTGCCCCTTTAAAAATAGAAAATTTCACCAAAAGACAGCAAGTTTGCATGCCTGAATGAATTGAATGTATAAAAGTCAACCAGGAAGTTAAGGTTAAAGAGACAACAGAACATGAGTACAGTAATACAAAAGAACAACTCAACTTAGTTGTCTTGGACAACAACTTTATAAACAGTTATTGTAATTTGACACTGGCCCAAAAACAATCACAGTACAATAGGTGGCCCTATATTGCATTAGGCAAAACAATAATACTCTGATATAGAATTATCCATGCTCTGCCCACAAATGCATGCATCTCTCATAGTTTCTGTCAGGTTGGACCAGCTATACAGAACATGGACAAAAACTCCATTCAGACTATTTAGAATTGTACTTCAACACTCGGTTTTGTCAAAATAGCTAAAATAGATGTGTTTTTAATTAAAAAAAAAAAAAATTAATCAATAGTAATAGTAATAATAAAAACATTATCCTAGACAGTAAGAATTGACAAGGTAAACCTCAAACTGTAACTTCTAACAGGTTTCACAGAATATAGTTCAGATAAACCAAGGAGGATTTTTTCCCTGTTGGCTATTTAGACCACTTTTACTTCTTGTTCTTGTTTGTTAATATATCTGTTTTGATTTTGTTTTACCTTCATTCTGTTGTCTTTGAGTGCTGCTGCAAGTAAACTGAATAACCGGGTAACAGAAATACAGTATAATTTCTGACAATCTATGAAGTTTAACCTGACATTGATAGTCTGCATGACAAATGACCTACAGCTTGCATATGAAAACAAGATTTTCTTAAGAATATAACTTAAGACTTTCAGAGGATATTTGAGAATATTTCCTAAGTCTTTTTATGAGAATTACATTTAAGAACATTCTCACTAATTTCTTAGTATTTTTTTCTTAGGAAACCTTTTGTCCCCTTGTCTGTATCTACTGTGACACAGAAAAAAGCCTTGTTGCTGAGAAAAAGTCAGACTTGTTTCTCAAAAAAACGAACACAGTACTTTAACTGCAGCTTAACAGGCTGACCAAGGCCTTTATGTCACAGTGCTGCATCTCAACCTGGCAAAGTGAGTTTGGTCCTCGCTCACCTTGCTCTCTCTCTCCAGCTCTCCTCTCAGCCACTCAAAGTCGCTGTACCTCCTCCTGACGCACGACTCTTTCAGCTTGAAGATGGGAAGGTTTGTCTGACAAGGACAAGCAAGAGCAAACAAACAAGCACAGTTCAAGTTAAATCCAAGCATAAACTCAAGTTAGTACCAAAAGAATTAGTCATCTCTGCTGTGCACATAACAGAACACAAGTATCTAAACCTCTGCCATTTCAGGTAAGTGTGCTGCAGATAGCTCTGCTCATAGGACAGCTGCTGTTTCAGTGTTCATAATTACATGCTATTTAATCTGTAAGCCTTGGCCTAAATTTTAAGATAGCATAGCTTTAAGTTACCAACCAAGGCCCTGTTTTACCTCAGTTATTAGACAGCACATACAGTACTGTGTAGACGACTGAGACCACCCTTCATTTACTGCAAAAGCCATTAAGTACAAATTATCAAATAAATGTACAGTGATATTTAAAGTTGGTTGCATTTTCTGCTTCTCAATATCCAAAGCACGTTTCATATTGTTGAGGTATGGGCTATGGGGTGGTCAGCCCACTGTTCTGAGAACATTAGCAGCTTCTCTGTCGGGCAAATTTTCTACTTTTTTGTCTATTTTCTTTTCTCAGTAACAGTTTCCCAACAGCTTCACATTCTTTCATACCCACAGAAATGAGTTTTTGATACTGATTTTCTCCTCTTTCTCTCTTTCTCTCAAAGATGAAGGCTTTAGATGCTTTTTATCTGACTGTGATGGTTTGGTGGTCTACCACGTCTTACATAGTTGTTAGGAGCCCCATTTTCTTGGTAACTTTCAATAATGTTTTCAAATTCCAGTTTTGGAAGCTGCTGTTTTCCCCTTCCTTGTGCTAGTGGATAATCTTCTATCTAATCATCTCAACAATCTCTCCTGAAACTTGGACAATCTGTACTTAATGGCCTTTGTGACCGGAAATGAAATTAGATAAAAGGGGGGTGGTCTCCAACTTCTGTACAGTATAGTACATTGCATTTGAACAATATTTTTTTAAAAACTATATTCAAACTGTAACTGTTGCTGTACAACAGATTGGTAAAGTCATTCTAGATGGATTTAAATTCAGTAAAACTGGTAACACACAGTGCCGACTAAAGCATCTGTGTAATCGTACAATATTGTGTGGTAGAGTTGTTTCCCCAAAGATGGATCCAAAACGTCCATCAACCCTCACATACAATGAGAAGAGCGACATAATGTGGAGGGTCTCTATTCAAGGAGAAAGCTGAAGAGGCAAAAGCCAGCAAGAGCAGTGCACACACACAAACAAAGTTCTGATCGATACCGCTGCATATGAGCAGACCTGTAAAAAAAACCTGCAAAAAGGACCAAAAGATTAAAACAGGAGAGAAGCCTGATAGTTCGAAGAATGAATTAATGATGAACGGCACAAATGTCTCGACTGTCTGCTTTGGGAAAAAGTCGTATTTGAGGCCCTAATTAGGTATAGAAGGCTGAAGCGTTCATCGTTTCCCTTTTTACCCCTCCAGCTCTTCCCTTACCCCATCCTCATCCTCCCCCCAGCTCTCTGTATGCTATAATAAGTCACTGCTCGCCCTAGAGAGAGCCTCTTCAGCCAGTGCTCATCGCTGCTCACATTGAACAACGTCGATGAAACACAGCCACGCTCCTCTCCACACCCCCCTCTCCAGCTTTTACCAAACCAGCCCTATTTCTGTTTTCCACCTCCAGCTTTCTCAGACTTCTCAAACCTTAGTCCCTCAATCTTCCGTTTTCCAACTCTCCAGAGTTCACAACTGCAGCTACTTGGCACTGCGTTTCCTCTGCATTTAACTTTTCCTGCCGCTGAGAAACTACTACACTATACTGTCAAAGGGAATAACAACTGCCAAAAACCCTGACCTACAGTTTGTCAATACTTTTTTAAGCTTTTAAGCACAGTTAGGGAATTGTCATTTAATTTTATCTAACACTTTAACCCCTACATTGTAGGCTTATTATTCAGCTAGCAAATAAGATACTGAGTCAGAGTCAGCAATCAGCCTTAATTTATATTATTTACAGTCAAAACAGCCATTCAGTACAATTTCACTTTACAGTGTCAGAAACAAAGCAAGAAGCTAATATAATTAATTAATAATACAACTAAATACAATTCAATTTTTGTACTTATTTTATCTACGTTTTGCCTTTATTGCAGCTTTAACTCTATTTTGCATCTGCAGGGATATTTTTGTACACTTTCAAAGTCCAGTCTTAGAAGTTGGTTGCATTTTCTGCTTCTCACAATCCAAGTAATCCTAATAAAAATATTCAACGATGTTGAGGTCTTGGCTTCTGAGGTAACCAGTTAATTGTTCTAAGAACACCAGCAGTGTTTGATTTCTATTTCTCAGTAATGGTTTTTGATATCTACACATCCTTCAAGACCCACAGCGTTACCTTCACACAGTGGAAGAACAAACACTGTAGACTTGTAAATCTTTTCAGATCTGAAGCAAGAATTTTTTTTTTTACCATTTTTTTACCATCTCCAAAAGATGAAAGCTTTAAGTACTGTTTATCTGATGGCGACAGTTTTGGTGGTCTGCTAGGTCATGCATAATTGTTACAGAGTAAATGGGACTTCCCCTTCCTTATGCAAGTGGATGATCTCAGAATAATCTCCTGAAAAATGAATAACTTGAACTTAATGGTCATTTTGACTGGAATTTAAATAAATAAATTCTTTGACTTTTGCACAGTACTGTACAATTCTGTAACTACTATGAATTAATGAGAAATTGAAGTGTTGGCTCACAAGCAGAACCTTGAAGTTTAAGTGGATGGATTTTGTGCATGTTATTTAATGCTTTCAATTACCAACTAAAAGCTAAAACAAAATTTCAAAGGCGCATCTTTTAAAACCCTTACGCAATAAATACAAAGAAATTGTGATTATCTCCAGCACCACTTCATAAGATCCTTTTTTTCCTTCCCAGCCTTTCTAAACACTCCTTCTAAACCATCAAGCCCTAACAATGTCCTCTTTTTTTCTGAGCCATAAGAGATGGGAATTAGCAAGTCCTCTTGTGCGCTATAAGTGTAGGGTTACTCCGGCATTTACCGAACATTTAGGAAGCAGCGTACAAGCCTGCTGCAGTGTTTGCAGTTAATATCATTTGAATGGCAGCCTTCCTGGCCTTGGTTTCCTCTGAGCAAAGAGGTGTAAAGAAGTTAATCCCCATGTCAACTGATCAGGTAATCTAATACACATACTCTCTCACTGTCAACCAGTGAAGGCTATGAGGGTGTATGTGATTAGTATTAGTCAGGAGTGGGTGACCAAGCAGCTTCTGAGCTGGTTAAAAGGTCAATACAGGGCTAAAACTTTTAACCCTTTTCCACATGAAGAAACGCTGTGGTAGTCACTCCGTCTTGCCCCCCAAAATCTAGACTGAAAACTCCAATACATGCATTGTATATGCAAGATTTGCAAAAATATATGTGTCAGCCAGTACGGACACAAACCCAACTCAAATAACGCAACATAACTAGCATTACTAGCTGTAACAGGGCAAATAGTGATCACAGTTCAACATGACTGCAGAAAACTGATAGCAAAACAAGCTACTATTTAAAAAAGTATTCTGGTTAAAGTCAGATCCAGTGATACAGCACTTAGGCTATCCATTTTGCATTTAACTGAAGAGGTAGTTATTCAAAGTGTTTAAAAACAAACATAAGCTACATGACGGCCCACGATCTTGCAAACGACATCACAGAAAACAGAGGAGGAGGACGGCAACGAGGCGCCGTGCAGACAGCTGCGTCTATCTGCGCTTTTCTGAGTTTGACTGGCCTCATCACAGTGCTAATGATCTCAATCAAACCTGAGACGAGCTAAAGAACCAAACAAAACCGCACAACAAAGGCCCTGATTACCGTGGCAACCAAAGTTAACCACACAGGCGGAAGCCGACTTCCACATCAAACACTTGATGATCAGACGAAAACAGCCCCATTCATCTAGCAGCAGCGCTCGCAGCCAGTGCACAGATAGAGGTTATTAAGAGACCTGTCGATATCTTTGTGTTAACTCATTTATTTGTGATGAGAATGATTGCGCGCAGAGTCCGCACAACAGGTAAAAAGCCTGCTGAAGACTGTGGCGGCTTCGATGAAAACAGCAGCAAACTACAGGTTTGCTTAGTTTACAACTTTAAGTGATTACAGTTAACTCTGCAGCCAGCAAAGGTTTATGAAAGAGGCATCACATAACAACTATTACACAAGGGAACTTGGTGTATGCTATGTAATGATGCTCTATTCTTTATAGCTCTCATACTCTAGTCGTGGAGCATTATATAGGTGCTGAACAGTCAACAGGTCAGGTTCATTGGCTAAGTATCAAGCCCTTTTTGGGGTGAACTGGTTGTTTTGAGCAGAGACCCACTACATTGTGAAGTGCTGAGTCTGAAAATGTTGCTTTAAAGCATGTAAACGTGGAGGTCCTAACAAGATTGTCACGAAACACAATATGCCATATGTCTTTTTTGACATCTGCAGAGCTATAAGACACAAAAAAGAACCAAAAAATTTTAAAAATACTATTGAAAACTACAAATATCCTGTTTTGCATTCAACATTTCACATCCTGCACTGCACTTAATCCAATTAAACGCAAGTGATTATTGCAAGGAACTGATGATCCTTTCAATCTTATCGTAATTTATGACGATAACAATAAATATCGTTCTATTGCCCAACCTTAGGTAAACTTCTTAAAAATATCACCTAGAGTGGGCACATCAATGTTGATGGGTGGCGTATTGGCTCAATATCAGCAGAAAATGCAGGATGACATGACTGAGGAAAAAAAAACTAATCTGACACAATTCTGTGTATTTGTTACTGTGGGGTAGCAGAATGTTTGAGTAGTCTGGCCAAGATAACCTACTTTTAGAAACTCACAATGTTGGGGGTGACACATCACGAAGTAAGATGTTACAGTGACGTAATTACTTTTTACTATAACAAAGAGGTGTAACGCATTACTGTTTAATTTCTTATCACATTACAGCTACTGGCTCATTAAGGACTACATTACC